AGCACTTTTTTACCAAAAAAAGATGGCGGCGCTCAGCAACCAGCGGCCCGGTAAGACTTGTTCCGCGGCCCGGTACCGGTCCGCGGACTGGCGGTTGGGGACCCCTGATCTAGAGAAAGCTAGGTATAAGGAAAAAAGGAAATACCAGTGGGGGGAAAAAACATTTTTCTTGGGTTTTATACCAGCAATCTCTAATATAAAAACCAAAATTCTTTACTACTATTTTTTTAAACTGCTGGGTGAAGGTCTAGACATTCTTGAAGAGCAAATAAGCTATAAAAAGGATTTTTTATATTAAAGTTTTATATATGTGTGTGTGTGTATGTGTGTGTGCATGTATATGCATGTATATGCATTTGATGCTTTACTTGTGTGTTGCATAGTGTGTGTGTGTGTGTGTGTGTGTGTGTTTTCTTAAGTTTTCGCAGGTATTTATAAGTATGGTATTCAGCTTTATTCGGGTATTTTCCCACGTCATTATAGTTGTGCTTTTAAAATTGTAGCGATGTTTCGGCAGAATCTCATCTGCCATTATCAGGCTTGTGTATTGTGACGAACATGTTTATAAGATCCTATAAGATCCACCCAGTGGTGGGATTCAAAATTTTTAACAACTGGTTCTGTGGGCATGGCTTAGGTGGTCATGTGACTGGACATGGCTTGGTGGTCATGTTATTGGCTGGGTGTGGCCAACTCAATATCACTCACATCGAGGCATGCATCTCCTTGCCTGGCCTTTCATGACTGTGGGGATGCTGCAACAGTCGTAAGTGTGAAAAATGGTCATAAGTCACTTTTTTCAGTGCCATTGTAATTTTAAATGGTCACTCCACACAAGCAAAGTACCCACAAAGGATGGGGGCAAAAAACTCCAGAGATGTTCCTGAGACAGGAAGTCTAGTCCTGTAAAGAATGTAATAAGGGTTAACGGAGAGGCAGTTTCTATAAGCAACACCAGAATGTTTCCTTCCTGCCTTCCTTACAGCAGTGGTCCCCAACCTTTTTTGTACCAGGGACCAGTTTCAAGCACAAACACTTTTTCAAGGACCGGGGGTGGGGGGAAGAATCCGAGTTTGGTGGTTTGCTTGCAGACGTTTCATTACCTGACTAGGTAACATCTGATGTTGTTACCTAGTCGAGTAATAAAACGTCTGCCAGCAAACCACCAAGTTCAGGGAGCGCCTCGGCCCTGCCTCCCTCAGCCCCATCCCTCAGGTGTCTCCCTCCCTTCCTCAGGTGTTTGCCTCGTTCCTCTCTCAGTCGCTCTCTCGCTGCTCCACCAGCCCAGGAAGAAACTGCTTCAAAGAAGCCGGGGGGGTGGTGGCTTTTCCTGTCGCCGCAGCTCCTCCGAAGTGCCCGTTTACCCCCACCCCGCCCGCCCGCCCGCGGTTCAATCCAGTGCTCCGTTCTGCCTGCCTGCCTGCCTGCCTTCGTTTCGGAGCAGCTTCAGCTGATAAAAAGAGGCGAATAGTTATTATTCTCAGCCGAAGCTGCTCCCAAACAACCAGACAGGCAGGCAGGCAGAACGGAGCACTGAATTGAACCGCGGGCGGGCGGGCGGGGTGGGGGTGAACGGGCGCTTCGGAGGAGCTGCGGCGACAGGAAAAGCCACCCCCCCCAACCCCGGCTTCTTTGAAGCAGTTTCTTCCTGGGCTGGTGGAGCAGCGAGAGAGCAACTGAGAGAGGAACGAGGCGGGAGGAAACCGAAGCTGCTGAGCCAGAGAGCAGGACAGGCTTCGGTTGCTTCCTCCCTCCCCTTCTTTCATTTGTGTCCTTGATCCCCGATCCCAGCAGCATTCACCGAAGGCGAAGAAAGCCGCCATTTTTTTTATTTTTTTTTCCTTGCGGCCCGGTACAGAGTGCTCCACGGACCGGGACCGGTCCGCGGCCCGTTGGTTGAGGACCCCTGCCTTACAGGATTAGGCCAGTAATTTCTTCTAACAACCGGTTCTCCAAACTGCTTAGAATGTTAACAACCGGTTCTAGCAAATAGGTGCAAACTGGTAGAATCCCACCCCTGGATCCACCCTCAGGAAGATTTCACAGAACAGAGTAGTGAACAGCTGCACATGAATTGTCCATTGAGAGGACATACTGGTAGTAAACAGCAGTTGAGAACATTTTGCAGGTTATTGCCAGAGTGTCTAAGTTCAGACAGGATTTTCTTAATCTATTTTAAAGTCAAGCTGGTATGAGCAAAGAACAGGGGCAGCTTAAGCTCTAAGCCCAAGATTGCTGCCAACTCACCTCCCTCATGGAACTGTAATGAACATGAGGAAAATAAGAACTTCCCATGGGTGTACCCATACATTTTGTTGGAAAATCTGGAGGCAGCATCCAGTTTTAATCCTGGAGTTCTGTGATTTTTCATGCAGGTTAAGTGAATAAGCCAAAAGGCATTGTGAACTCTACTGTCACCAATTTACACATCATATATCAGTTAATATTACATATAATATTTACCTACATTTCTTTAAATATATTTTCTAATATAAAACATTGTTCTGTAATATACAGTCTACACACACACACACACACACACACACAAAATACAGAATCACAAATGTTTTTTATATATAATTTTGTGCATATTTCTTTGATTATGCAAATTGATAATATGTACATTTGATTAAATTAAATCTTGCAAAACTTGGAAACCTTGGAAATCCTGAAATATAACAATATTTTGATACATTTTGTAATTTTTTTATCTTCCATTCCTTCTGATCATTGGAATAAAGATTGTATGCACATGTGGAAAATTTTGAAAATACTATTGGATGGTGTACAACAACTTTATGATTGCTTTCCCTTTTTAAGGAATAAAAATCAATTTTCTAGAATATTTATGGAGGCCATCATTTACCCCCTCTCCATCCAATGCCTTAGAAAAATGCCAGGTTCAAAGCATTACTGAAAACGAAGAACATTGGCTAGGTACTGGCATGGTAGTGAAAGAAACAAATAAGCAAAAATGAAATTTATTGGGGGGAAAGTTTGTGTATGTTTTCTTCTTCCCTAGTTCGCCACCCACTGACAGGAATTGAAAAGTTCAAGAGGCAATTTGCTCATAATTCAAATTCCTTTGAGGCTGAAGAGATGCTACACTTGATGTGAGCATTATTTGTATTCTGCAAATGAATGGTCTGTAGACTGACTACTTAAATAAGAAATAAGTTTGCTTGCTTTGAAAGTTAGTTCAACAATCCCACCCCCATTCCCAACCCTGGCTTGTTTCATAAAACTCATTTTCTGACTTGACTCAGAGACGACTCTTATTGGTTTCCAATTATGGAAATGCAGTTGTTAAAAGCATTCATATGCCAAACAACATCGGTTTCAAAAATGACAGTTTCAATGGAGATAGAGAAAATAGCATATTTCAAAGGTATATTCTACAGTGTGAGAAGAAAATGTCTTTCATGATAACCCAACTCTTCCCCAAAATGGAAGTTCTGCTTCTGAATGACTTGCATATTTGCAAAGGTCTAATACTTTCCCCTTAATCTACAATGGGTTAGAAAGGAGCAACAATTTAACATATAGGAAATTATAGTTATTTCATCCAAAAATAGGGTTGTCACAGCAGGGACCTTCTACAGTGGTGGCATGTACAGTGAAATATACATAGGAATCAAGTTGCAAGACTTCAGTCATCCACTGCACTGCTCCTTCCACTGCTCCATTCGAGAATATGGCAGAGGACTGTTATTAAAGGCATGGAAACCAATCACATAAATGGTAAGTCAATTAGTTGAAAACTAAATTGTAATTTACACTTCAACTAAAGTGGTCCTCCCTTTTTTTCCTGGTCCTGGTCCCCAAATTAATAAGAGGGATAGGAAAAAAGATTACTTCCTTCTTTTTATTTTGGATTTTCAGTTGAGTTGCAAAGTGAGTCCAAAAACTACCTAAATATTTCATTAGACATTTCTTTAAAGTATCTTTAAAGAGCAACCTGGCATCTCACTGATCTGTTTTCAAATGTTGAGATATCCTATGCTTATGCCTCCACTAAATACCCTATCCTCAAAGTATAGTGTAATATGCTGTACTTAAAACTAGTAGTTATGTCTAAATGGTGCCATCTACTGGCCACTGTATTTTTTCTTATTAAATCAAGTACATAAAGAGCCTTCACTATCTCCCATCCCAATCAGAGGGAAGTGTTCTTTTTGAACTCGCAAAATGTTTATAGCAAAATGATATAAACTAAGTCTCTATTGGTCTCTATTGGTTATAACAGTGTAATACATTCAGATTCAATGATGCAAAATTATTTTGTTCTATAATTATTTTATTATCAAAATATTTACAATTTAAAGCATAAAACACAGTTGGAATTAATTTTAAATAAATTAAATACATATAATATATAAAAAATTATTATGTTTCATATTTAATCTCCTTTAAATAAACTTTTATTTAAAAATAAGGAACTGTGGGCTTAGACACTCATACCTTTTCTAATATTTCATGGTACGTAAAACAAACCATATGATGATTTAAGAGCAATGTGTGAATCCATACAATTGAAACAATCAAATTTATGGAACTGAAGAATGAACAGAAATTCTAGATTGCTACAGATATGAAGGGTTTTTTCCAGGAGGGAGTGTTGATCCCTCAGGAGTAAATCAAATTACTAATAGATATCTCTGTGTTACTTATTAAGCTAGTCCCTAATATAATGTATAAATACTTTCAAATAAAGTTCCATTTAAAAAAAAATATAGTTCTGGGTTTATTGTGGAGGATGATTTTTAGAATTGGTTCACTTATACTTTGCTTCCAAAACAGATTTAGTCATCTTTGATTTACACAAAATTGCACACAATTATCCAAGAAATAAATACTATTCATAATTTAGATAATACAGTACTGAATCCCATAGGGATGAAACATTTAAAAAAACTTGATTCATTTCAAGACACACTATTGACATTTGAGGACTATATGTAGGTACATTTCTGCAAGTTTAGCTTTGGCAGAGACAATCATCTCCCTTTTCTATGTTGAAACTGAACTGTTCCCTAGAGGTATTGTAGATAAATGTACCACGATACTTAAATACTCCCTGATGACTAAGAATTGTGAGGTCTCTTCTTGAAACATGGCCACAAAAGACAAAATGTGCAATTCTACATGAAAATGATACTTCCACCTTTAACCATTTTCAATATGTCAAAAGTATCATTTATAAAGAAGCATAAATTGCCAATATCTTTGTTCTAGATTTGCAGAAATGGAAGGGAGCTATCAGAGCTCAAAATATCAAGGACAGAAGGTGGACTGTGCACAAGGCTGGAACATATGCCATGCTGCTTGGATGGCTTCTATTCTTCCTTGATATGTTGCCAGCATTGGAACAGGATTGTTGTGGTAGGACAGGATGTTTCTTCTCAAATCATTGTCCTCAAGGAACCTCCCATTATCCATGGTGGAAAGACTTCTCCAAAGGCGACTTATCTTAGTCCATGAGTGGCTGGATATCATTTCAGAGTCGTCCACATTTACTACCTGAAAATAACAAAATATAATGGTTTTGGATGTGCCTCCTTTCAACTTCCTTCCTTAGATATTCCAAATATTTGTGAGACTAGATCAAAATCCTATGACTATAACAATATTGTATTTACTGTTTTTAAAAATTAAACTCCAGCGAAACTTGTAATTTTTAAATCCAAATATTTCTGTGGCTATATGACACAATATTATTTGACATAATAATGTCAAGTTATTCTTAGCTGCAGACAATTTTTGATCTCACTTTAGGTCAATTTCCAACCTCACTATTTAAAGCATCTGCTTCTGAACGTTTCTTTCTAAAGAAAAAAGAAAAAAACCTTCTGTATGACTAAACACATATGAATCTGTACCACAAGTTATTATGATGTTATATTACACTCAGACAATTTTATTAGTTGACCAGGATTCTGCTAATATTTTTATTGTATCTTTTCCTGCCCTACTTATTAAAATATTTTATTATTTTATCCCTCCCACTGTTTTTAATATTTTAGTTCAGTTTGAAATCTGCCTAAGAACTCTGCAATATTAGGCAGATTATTGGAATGATTAATAAATTCGCTATTATTTATCCTTTCCTCCAGAGCAGGGATTCCTAAGCATTTTGCTATTTTTTTTTATAAAAGTTTTATTAATTTTAACAACAAATAAAAACACATAAAATTTAAATGTAAATTTATGAAGAATGATGATGTTCTTATGTTATGTTTTATGCTAAGCATTTTGCTATTACACCTCACTTTTGTGTAATTTTAATGTATACACTTCCCCTAAAAATCCAAACATTAAAAGGAACACAAAGGAACAATGGAAATATTATAATGAGAAGAGGGTGGAACCTCCCAGCGATACCAGGCATAGAGAATGGTCACCTCTATTCCTATACTGGTTTTCTCCCTATTTGTGGGCTCTGATAGAAGCCAAAGCTGCCTTGTAGGGGCAGTGAAGCTAAGGAGGGGTGCTCTGTGCAATCTCCTGGGCCTTTTCCCCTCTAATGCCATGGCAAGCAGAAGAGACAGTCTAAAATGGCTGCCACAAAATCTGGGAGAGATGACGACCACAAGCACTGTACAGGAGCGGACTTTGGTGAATAGTGTGTGAACTGGGTGAGCTTTGTTCAAATTTTAACCCCAAAAGAATATCCAGGAAAAGAGAGGTTCACAACTATTTTTAAAAAACAGCAGTGACCTAGAACTTTTGAAATGCTGGAACTATCCACTTAAAAACCAATGCTATTTTAAGAGGTGAAAGAATGCTTAAAGGAAGCTTTTAAATATAGAAAACCTGGAAAATAGCTGAATAACTTGAAAAGTGATCCTTGGGAGGAACTGTCTTTTATATTTGTAACTTCTAAACCCCTGGGATTTATTGGGAAATTAGCTGTTTTTGATATACTGTTTAATGCTGGAACTGCTGGAACTTGGAAGGATGTCATCTACTGGAAGAAGAAGGGAACTACAGCACCAAATCCTCTGATGAAAGTGTGAAATGTCCAATACACATAATAGAAAAAAGTAAACAAAGCTGGGAAAGAGGTCTGACCTTGACTTTATCTCAGAAGGCAATTTGGATATTCTGAACTACAGAGTGAGTTTCACTTCCTTTTTGAAGATTTAAAGACGAACTAAATTGTTAATAATTAAATACTATAAAAACTGATTATTGGACTGAGGACTCGAAAGATTGGAGAAAACACAGTGGATTAATTTGGATTTGGACTATTAATATTATCTGATAGAACATCAAATGAGGTAAAGAAGAAAGGGATACAAGAAGAGAGAAAAGAAGGAAAATTCAATAAGACTTTAAAATTTGGATAATTGGGAAGACAAACAATTGGAAAACTAAAAGATTATAAAATACTAAAGAATTTTTAAAATTATAAACTAGGAAAAAGGATTTGGAGACATAACTATGAGAAATGATTACTAATAACTGGATTGGTGGGAGTGTTTAAATATTGAGTCATTGCAATTATAGAGGTATATTGAGTAATTTTTACTGAATTGTAATAAAATGGATTACCAGGTGATAATAGAGGAATATGAAGAAATAATTTTGATGAGTAAAGATATGCATGAAACTATAAGAACAATAAGGAGACAAGGGGAGTGCCTAAAGATAAAGAACTGAGTATAGAAGGCCTGCAACAAATGGGTGTGGGAGAAGAGGAATAAGATATTTGGGAAATAGATCAGAAATTAGAAGAAGCAGTAGAAGGGAAAAAAATCAAAGTGAGATGCAAGAAAATAAAGATAATGGAGGGAAAGGACTGATAAGTTGAAATCTAGATAATATTTTAAAAGCTTATAACAGAATAGAGGGTGGAGGAGGAAAATCTCTTCAAAAATTGGAAAGTCCAGAGGAAAAAAAACCAAAAATATCTTTTTTAAAAAAGAATGATTTATGGACGGATATTCAAAAGATGCAGCAAAAAAGAGATAAAGGGCAACTCGAAAGGAATAAAAATATTATTAAAAAACTATAAGTTTCCAAGAGAGAGAAAGAAAAAAATGATTAAAAAGTGGACAGATGATGGAACTCCAAAGAGACCAAGAGACGATGGATAGCGATAAAATACATTAGCAAAATGGAAAAGTAGAAAATATAAATAGGGAAAATAGTAGTATATATATTAATAGAAAAATAGAATTTACTTTATTTAAAAATAAATTAAGGGTAGAAGGTGGAAGTTTAGGATTAGGGAATTTAATTGTATTATTAATATTAACAGTGTGTTAAAATGTATTTTGAATTTCAAACTTTTAAGAACTGTGGGCAGTTGGAGATGGAAACCCGAGATCGATTGAATACTGTTAATATTTGGATTGATTAGTAGTGTTGGATATTTGGGATATTGAAAGCATGGTGGAAAAATGAGTAATTTTTAAAATATCAAATACAAGATAAGGGATAATAAATAATGGTGAAAAGAAATGTTATGTATGCTTAAATGAACCAATGGGAAAATAAGAAAGAATAGAAATAGAAATAAGAGAGGAACAACAATATACATATTTTAATATAACAAGATCCATGAAATAACAAGAGGGAGGTCTAGAAATTGAATGGCGGTAGTATCAGATATGTTTAATTAACATGAAACAATGAGAATGAAATGTAATAACTATGAGTTACAACATTATGTATCTGTACTAAATATATGATACCGAGGTATCACACTGTTCACGCATTGACATGTATAAGTAATATAAAATAAAAAACTTGACTTAAAAAAAAAGAAAATATTATAATGAAAGTTTGGGAAAATTGAATGTATGGCAATAATATATAAGGAAAATTTGGCAGGAAAATCAGAAGTTGTAGCCATGTGATATCTCCTTAATGATCTGTGGTGACTCACTTAACCAAATGGGAAATAGTGTTGTAAGTCTGTCATGTTTACTTGATGTTTTGCTTAATGATCGCATCACATAAGCAACAAAGTTGCTGTCCCAATTGTGCTCACTAAGAAAGGACGACCTGCACTCCTGAAAAAGTTGTTGTAAGGTTAAATCAAATCTAAAAGTATACAAATCCATTTTAAAAAGCATTATGTATGGAATAGATTAGCCAATTTTTTCCCACTTTAGTATAGTCCTTCTTGGATGAAGATGGAAAAATTTTATCCCATGGAACATTGAAAACCCCAGATTATTTTCTAAGGATTCAAGACTTAAATCTTACATATGTCTTAAATACTGTAATATTTTCTTAGTCAACTTTGTCACTTAACGGGAAAAATATATAATTTTTTCATAAATCAGTATCCAGCCATGAAAAACTTCAAGCGTTATTTTTAAAAAGATGTTCGTTTTTTTACCGAAACATGTGATTTAGCATAAAATACATATGGTTTAATTTGGCAATCAGTATTTCTCCAGGCCTCAGGGAAAGTCCATTTTTTCAGTCCTACTACCTAATATTCCTTATTAGAAATGTTAGCATGTTCACGTAGCTATTTTCATACTAGTATAGAGTATCACACTACGGCTGAACTATGCTCTTGGCCTCCAGCCATCCACCATTCTATGTACCATTAAAAGCAATAAACAATAGTTTCTGTACAACTTACTTGATTAAACGATTTGAGCTTGGAAACTGCCTTCTGAATCAAGGCTTGAGACACTGCTAAAAAGCACAGGAAAAATAATGTAAATTACTGTGCTCCAAAACAATATAGTAACAGCCAAAAATTGCATTAGATTCTTCAAGAATCTGGAGAAGGAACATACCTTGTAAAAGTGAATGATTTTTCTGCAAGAGAAGGGCAATAGAGAAATAGAAGGAAAGAAAAAAAGAAAATTAGTAAAGTAAGTAAGATATCCCATCTTTTAGCAATTGCTAATATAAACATATCTGAATTATCTTCATTCTGTAAAGAATCATCTTATATACATACATAGAACATAAATCATTCTATGATTCTATGATTCTATATGTATCAAAAGCATTCTTATAAGTTGCTTTTTAAGTTAACCTTGCTCTCATCTGTTATCTGTGAAAGTCCATTCCCACAACACTTGTTCATAGAGTTAAATGTACTTCAGTTACTAATTTAATTTATATTTAGTATAGAAATTTCTTTAAAAAACGGATAATATCCGCCCAGGAAAAATTACTGGGACTACAGCTGTCATGAAGGCAAATTCAAACCTTCCAATTTGAAGAAATCTCCCATTGATTCCAGTAGAAATTTTGTCTGAATGTACAATTTCAATTTCAGAGGACTGCAGCAAGAGTCAAAAAATTTCAATTTTTCTTTCATATCTGCTGTAACACTTTATATTATCTAAATCTGTTTAAAACAGACACATTACATTTTAATACACTTTTTTTGCTATTTAAGTACATTCAGACAAAAATTTTATCTCATTTTTATCCACGTACACACGAATGCTCAACATACCTAATAGTCCTGCTTCCTATTTTATCTACAACTTTGTGAAGTAGATTAGACTAAGAAATCTACCTTGTAATTTGGCTACTTCTACACAGCACTGCAGTTACTGTATATAAAAAATTGGGTATTACTTTAAAACAATAAATTATGAAAATGTCTTACTTTTTCCTTGAAGACGCTTTTGGACCCAGATAATGAATGATACCACTGATAGGACAGAAAGCCCAGTGACTGATGTACCAATTGCTAAGAATTTCCCAAGGGCTGGAGAATCTAATATTTGAAAATTGGAATAAATTAGAAAAGTATAAAAATCTGTTTTACTGGCTTTGAATCTATTGTTCTAGACAGCAGTGGCAACCCACTTCTGAAAAACCTTGCCAAGAAAATTGCAGGGATTTGCTCAAGAATTATCTGAGAATTAGACATGATTGAACAAAAGAAAAAATTACTATATATTATTCTAGTAATTAGCTCCTATTTATTGTATTAGGATGATTTTTCAAAATTCATATATCTTCCCTTGGAGCATGAGTGCAAAAATGGTAGTCCATCAGCAACCTTGGTGTGCTCTTGGAGGCCAAACCAGAGTAACTGTTATGAAAAACTGGAGCTTTGAGTTGCTATTTGCATTTAGGATTTACAAAGCAAAATGGCCATCTTAGAATTTTCAGATGCTTAAGCCCCCAAATTCATGCATTTAAATTCCTGAATTCTCCCACTATTGCTATGATTTTATGAATTTGATATAGCCCTGCCTCAAAGTACTAGAAATTACAAATATAATATTTCCTCATCATAAAGATGCTTATTTCATACAATTCTAGTAAAACCCCTGTCACTACAATAAGTATGAAAACGAATCCTGGCATGCATGTAGCATCAGTATCCAAAATATATTACTGGATAGTCCAATCTCTGTCCCTTACCTTCACAAACAGGAATTGGCTGACTCCAGTGTCCATCTGATAAGCACTGAATCTGGGGTGATCCTCTTAAAGTGTAACCCTTTGCACAAGCAAAATCACAGGTTGATTTATACTTCAGTTCTGTAGCATTATGGGAACAATTCATAAGGCTTCCTTCTGACTGACGTACTGCTTGACATTTCACCACTGAAATAGAGGCAGGTCATTCCATAAGTCATCTCATATATGGTCAAAGAACAGAACATAGAAATACAGCAACAGTAAGGCAATAAGGTAAGACCTTCACCTTCGCATGTAGGCTCCTGTCCATCCCATTCCCCAGATGCACCACACTGGAGTATACTGGGGCCTTTCAAAACGAAACCTTCTTTGCAAGAAAAATTGCAAGATGAATTCCAGGCATAATTTCCAGAAGGGTTGGAGCAGTTGAATAAACCATGTGCAGGCTTCTGTAGTGCATGACATTCCACAACTAAAGACAGAATTGTACTCCATTAGGTTAGGCAACTTCCTTGGTCAACCAAATCCTTATTGGTTGAACACAAACGAAAGCTGTGAATTTTTTATCATAGTACTGAGGTTCCCTTTAAACTCTCGATCTCTCCTCCCAATTATTTATTTTCTGTTTCAAAATCTAGCACCAATTTCCATAATTTTGCTGGATACCCTAGGAAAATTATTTGCTAAATAAGACTTTATTATTTCCTCAAAAAAAGATTATGAGTTGAAGGGCTAGAGACCCTTCAGGGTGGCATAAAATGCATTTGTGTTTACTACAGCACATACAAATTATATTTCAACAAGATTTCCATTGCTGTTTTAGATTTTGGGATAAATTCCCAATAAAAATGTCTTAAATTTCACTCCCCTTTTTTGGCAGTGCATTGAAATTCATAGTAATCTAAGGGATGTTCTATCATTGGAGTCAAAGGGACTAGCCTAGTTTAAAGTGTAAGATGCCTATTTCCATGCTGAAAATATAACTGTTGAAGTACTATTTTCTATAATTAATTTGCACTTTCTTTCTTAAAAATGGGTACAAAATTCAAAGGTTCTGATTCTTTATAAACCTTTTCCATATGCATGCATTGTTTATAGACTCACCCTGAATCTAATAAATTATAGAAAGCTGCTTGATAATGTAGAGTTTGATAAGGTATTTCCTAATTTCAGCAAATGTATGGAGGTGACAAACACAATGTCTCATTGCTTTTAAAGTTTACCTTCACATTTAGGAACTGGATCAGACCATTCACCATTTGATGAACAATGAATGTGGGACGATCCTTTCAACGTGTAACCCTTCATACAGCTAAATTCATAGACTGACTTGAAACTTGGATTTGTGTCATTGGAAGAATGTTTGGCAATTCCCATTTCAGGAGGCTGCACTGCTACACATTTTATTGCTGGAAATAAACATAGCATATACAACAATTTACTTTTTTGTGTGAAAAAAAA